TTTTTTTTTTTTTTTTTTTTTTTTTTTTTTTTTTTTTTTTTTTTTTTTTTTTTTTTTTTTATAGATAAATGATCAATTAAGGAGTTGGCAAGTTCTTGGTGTTAATGAGTTTAGTTCTAAGAGGGCAAGGATGAGTATTGTACTCAGACCTGCAGGATGGACAGAAGGAGCTATTATGTATGCAAAAGGTACGCTTATATGCATGCATGCAAATGCATGCATGCAAATGCATGCAAATGCATGCATGCAAATGCATGCAAATGCAAATGCATGCAAATGCATGCAAATGCAAATGCATGCAAATGCATGCATTTGGTTATGCTAGGGTGCAACAGGGCATGCTGCAGGTGTAGCTACGGGTATGTTTGTTTTGCTGCTGCTGATGGTGTTGATGCTGCTGTTGCTGCTGCTGATGGTGTTGATGCTGCTGTTGCTGCTGCTGCTGTTGCTGCTGCTGCTGCTGCAGGAGCAGACACAGCAATGCTTCCTTTGTTAACAAGCTTTGAGAGTCTAATAGAGGAGAGACAATTAATAGACAGACGTAATGGAGGAGAGGAAGGGACAGACACATTAACAGGAAGAAAAGAAGAGGAGACACATACTGTAGTACGGGGTGTCTCCGGAGACAGTGCCCCCTCTGTATCGCATGCACAGTCTCCTTCTGTCCCCTCCACCCCCAGGAAGCTAGGCAACAACAACAACAGCAGCAGCAGCAACCCTAACAATAATAATAATATAAATAATAATAATAATAATAATAATAATAATAGTAACAGCAGCAGCAGCAGCAACAGCCCCATTAATGCAGCAAGAGAGAGACACAGCAGCAAACATTATAGTGCATGCAGCAGCAGCAGCAGCAACAATGCATATCCAGATATAGATCCTGGTCTAGTAGAGGAACATCTTAAGATATTCTCCCTACAGGGATTAAGGACTATGGGTAAGTTTATGCCAGCCCCAATATTTGCATGCATGCATGCATGCATGCATGCATGGATGTGTGTATATATGTATATGTATATATGTATTTATATACATATACATATATAAGTAAGTGTATATATTTGTATATATACAGTATACATATACATAAGGATGCACCTTTATTATATATAATAATATATATATTATATATATTGTATATATTATATAGATTATATATTATATATATTATATATATATATA